AATCTCCAAAAGCGTGGAGAACATCCCCATAAACATGGGGTACAAGTAAATAAATAAATCTCCAAAAACATGGAGAACTCCCCCAAAACATGGGGTACAAGTACATAGATTAATCTCCAAAAGATGGAGAACATGCCCAAAAAAACATGGGGTACAAATATATAAATAAATCTCCAAACATATGGAGAATATTCCCAAAGCATTGGGCCCAAGTCAATAAATAAAAATGCCAAAACAATGGGACAGAAGGCAATGCATGGTCAGTGTTGCGCTAACTTGAGACTGACAAAATATATCACACAAGCGCAACGTAACTGTTCATAAAACGCAGTGCCACTAATAATGTGAAATTAAAATACAGATCTTACCTGGAAAGAAGAATCAAATAACAGAGCAAAACTGCTCTTAAAAGTTTTTAATAGTCTTCAGTATAGGTGATGTTCCTTTGACGGTAAGCTGTATGTGAATGCTTAGAACTTAGCATAGGGATGTGTTATAACCCTTTCGTAATCGTTATCTATATATAAACGAGTCTGTTCAAGATATACCTAATACCTTTATAGGTATTTCCTCTCTCTGTCAACTTAATATATAATACACCACGAATATATATATATATATATATATATATATATATATATATATATATATATATATATATATATATATATATATATATATATATATATATATATATATATATATATATATATATATATATATATATATATATATATATAAATATATATAGACAACACCTTTCTGCTTGCTCTGGGTATGGAAATTATATAGTACACACTCTTGAGCATTTTTATCCATTGAGAAAAGTGGATACAACCACAATCTGCAGTTTAAACACCCCCTAAACCTAACGACTAATAACAAAACCCGAAGCCGTAAAAGAAAAATTATATGGTATAATCCACCATATAGTAAGAATGTTTCGACTAATGTTGGCCAGACTTTCTTGAAAATTATTGTCGAGGAATTCCCCACAGATCACCCGTTACACAAAATATTCAACCGTAATACAGTCAAGATCAGCTACAGCTGTATGCCAAACATTAACTAGACTATCGATGGACACAACAAATCCACGCTGTCTACAGCTTTCACCACGAATAGTCTCGACATGTGGAGTTGCCCGAAAAACAATAAAGATCTGTGCCCACTGTCTAATAAATGTATCACCGAATCAGTTGTATATCAAGCTACAGTCACTACTAAGGACAAAACTACCAATGTCCGGAAATGGGATTGATATGCCCGCTGGACTTTATTGCGGGTAGCTGACGTCACCGACCACGCTAGCGGAAGTGCAAGCTAAGCATGTTTTCTAAGTATTCGGGAAAATTGTGAAATATACAACAACATTGTGATTTTAAGCGAAATATGTTTGTTTTAAACCTTTTATTGTGACTTGCTGTGGGATACCTATCCTTGGAGGCGGGAATCCCCAACACTTGGCACCTTCGACGCGATTTTAGAGCTTGGTGAGCATACAAAAACAGCAAATATTGTGATTAATTGTCGTCTGTCGAATTCTACAGGGTGTATCAAAATAAACGCAATTCATCTTTTGTGCTTAATAACTTTCGAAATACTATTTCTAGTTAAACGCTTTTAGGCTTACTTCAAAGCCTGTTCTT